TCTGAATCATACAAAAATGTTAATCATTTTTCTTTTATTTGACAATTGAATTTGTTCACATAAGAGATTTGGCGCATGATTAATTAAAACACAGAGGGGTTTGACACATTTTTTAAATTACAGGGGGCTAATGCGCCGAATTTCCAAATCACAGAGGGGTTTTGGTGCATTAAACCCTATTTATTGGTGATAAAACATTTTAGTATGATATATATGTAGTGTGTGTGTGTATATATATATATACTATGTATATATATATATATATTATATATATATATATATATATATATATATATATATATATATATACTTATGATACTAGTGTATCACTAAAAAATATGATGCAATGGTATCACAAAAATTCTTGTTATGTATATATCACTAAAAAACGTGATGCAGTGGTATCACAAAAATCCTTGTTACATGTCACAGTTCTCAATGATGTTTACATGTTATAAGTTTGTGACTCAAAAGTGATTTGTTAACGGTGACACTAAATTTTGTGTCACTTGCCCCGCTTGTTTGTGACACTTTCAGTGTGTCACTAAATCGCTTAGTGACACTAATTTAATGTCACTATAAGTCATTTTTACTAGTGATAAATGAACATTTCTATCCGCGTTTGAGTTAATAAAAACTTGGCGAGTAAGCTAGACAACAAAATATTTAAGCACGAAATTGAGTTTTTCCACTCACTCTTACAAACACAACACTGTTTTGATTAAGTTTTAAATTTCTGTTTATTGTGGCACGATTAACAGGTAAAAGATTGATAAAGCATATAAAATCTGCCCGACAACACATGAGTGCATGCAATAGTAGTCAAAATGAAGAAATTCAGATTTCTCACATTTGTCACCCAAAAAAATAGTATGATTGTTGGGTGTAATGAAAATATCATATTTCTCACATTTGAATGAAATTTCATTTTTATAGGATGAATAATTTTATCCTTTTTAGGCTTAATTAATGAGCACAAGAGTACAAACCTTACCACGAACTTGCTTTAAACATCAAAAGTTCCAATTAAATTCAAGACAAGTATAAAGTATGCATAGTATGAAAGGGAGACTAATGTCAATTGCAGAAATGTAACCAACGACAGTGCAAAGTACACAATATTATAGGAAAGTAATAAGATTTTACCCTCTCGTCCATGAGACCATTTCAATCGTATATGGCTCAGAGCAATTTTCCTTGTTAGGAACAATCCACCTGCATACTTCTTTAAACAATAACACAGACTTGATGTTCGACTACATTTTAACATTCTTCAAAATGAATTTGAAGGGACTTTTTGCAGCCTTTGAAGAATTGATAGATTCCATATAATACCTTGCATCTAAATCTAGGGTTTTAGAAAACAACTTCATATAATTTTTTGAGATGATGATATAGTATGTGACGGATAAACATAGAAAGTTGAGAGAGATTACTAACCAATAATCGAAAATCGCAAACAGAAGAGAAGAGAGAATGAGAGGGACACGAGAGAGTTGAGTAATAAGGAGGGAAAGCAAAGTAAACTGGTAAAGAAGAAGAAGAGAGGAAAAGATCGGAAGAAAAAATCCGGAGTAGCATAAAAGCAAAGGGAGTTACGAAAATACTCCTAAGAATGAGTATATAAATATAGATATAAAAAAATATAGATATAGATATAGATGATATGTCCAATCCTATTGTAGAAAACTTTCAAGAGGGAATAAAATGCTCCATATTTGTTTTCAATAAATGTCACATTGAAACAGAATAACTTGTCTCGAACCAAACATTTCCCCATTTTCAAGAAGAAACAATTAGAAGCCATTAATGATCCTCATTGATGATCCTCAACTTTACGGTTTTTCATGGCCTATTATTGCTATGTCACTTCCACATAAGATAATCTCAAATAATCTCCAAACCAAAAATTTTCTCCTCAATCATGATCTTAAATTACCTAGATTTTTTATGAGACATACACTTAATTTCAAAATCTCTAACTTAAATGCACTCACACAAACATGCACAAACTATATTACTACATATACATATATGGTACTATACGTACACTATTATATATATGTAATATACGTACTACAAATTATATAGTATATTAATAAAGTACTATACGTACACTATACTACTATAAATTTTTGTATATAACATTATATATTTTAATTTATAACATTTCGATCAATTAATGTATTTTCTTTAATAATATTACAATTAATGTATTTAATTGTAGTAGTGCTAAATAACAATGTATTGGATGTTGAACAATGAACACTTGAATTGAATTGAATTGAATTTGGATGTTGAACACTACGTATAAAGGAAAATAGTGCATGCAGTTCGATCAACTCTTCGTATTTTTTGTAGTATGGCATACATGAGTATGTCTGGAAAATTGGGAGAGGAGCCTAAAAGTTGGAAATAATCTTCAAATAATCTAGCTTTAGAATTTGATACCAGATTATTTTATCAAATAATCTCTACAAATAATCCTAACTTCTCAACCATAATCTCAAAAAAGATCCTCCACATCATCACAATGATCTCTAAAATAATCTATGGATGTGGATGCCCTAAGATAGTACTTCTATCATTTCACCTAAACACACCTTTTCGTGAAGTCGAAACAATTTTAAGAGTCCAAGTGGTAATATCAAAATCGATTGTATCAGTTGATTTTGACGAAACTTATGGAGTTCTGACTGAAGTGGCTGAATTAGCTGATTCAAGTAAATATTATAATCAAAATATATATTATTAGTAAAATAAAGAAAGAAATATATGAAAAATAACTAAAATGACTCTACCTTCAGCCAATATACTCAAAAAATTAATTTCACCTCTTTTTTTACACAATTCTGCGCGCGAAATCAAAAGTTACATATTTGAAAAAAGATCAACCATAAGTCTGTGAAGCCGAACCATATACTAACCAAATGAGCTCTAAATAGTGGATCTAGACACCCTAATTGGGCATGTTTGCAATTGCTTCAACTTTAAAAAAGTGATTTTTTAAAGTGATTTTGGGAAAAGTGATTAATAGTAAAAGTTGGTAGTGTTTGAGAAAAAAGTGATTCTGGAAAAGTAAAAGTTGGTAGTGTTTGGTAAAATAAGTACTTTTTGTGTAATAGAAAAAGTGAGAAGCAGTTTGAAGCACCCTTCTACCTGCTTCCAGCTTTTAGCTTTTAAGTGATTAATTTAAGCAGAAGCTGTCATTTGAAAACACTCTTTTCAACTTTTTTTAAGCCAAAAGCTGAAAAGCGTTTTTTTTAAGCAAACCCAAACACTCCTTAAATGACATGCCCAATTCTGTGAACATGCCCAATTCCTTGGCCTATTCGTGTAATTTGGGCGGATCTGTTGTGGCCTACCCGAAATTTCATAATATGTAGTATTTTTTACGCAAAACGTAGTATATACTTAGGAAAGGGTACAAATTTACCCTTTTAGTATGGGTGTGAGAACAAATATACCCCTGAAGTATATGTTGAAATGCATATATACCCCTGAACTTTTAAAAAGTGAAAAAATACCTCTCATGTTCTTATAAGTGAGCAAATTTACTCTTATTGATTTTAAACAGATAAAATAAAATTCAAAAAATACTAAAAATAAATTATAAATTCGAAATTTTAAAATAAATATGTTTTTATGTTAAAATATTAAATCTTAATTTTATATTGCCAAATTTTTATCTTTTCATTGTAAATGAAACACTTGAAATTCATGTATTTTAATTTTAGTCGTGTTGCGAAAATTTGAACACATTGTTAAAAACTTTAAAATAGCATCCTTTGATTTTGTTTAAACTTAATAAAATTTAATTCACTATGTTGTAATCTTGGACTATTTATCATCATATAAAAATATGTGATATTATAGTGCAAAGAATGCAAACAAGTTTTTTTTTTTAAAAAAATTGCAACACATATGTTAACACTTTTTCGAAAGAATTCTGAATATATAGTAAAGTTTTGAAATAATATTTTATCCTAACAATATTAAATTGTTATATACAAACAATAAAAGGGAGAATTGGACACATGTATATTTTAAAAACTTTTATTTTTTAATTTTGAATTTATAATTTATTTTTGGTGTTTTTGAATTTTTTTATCAATTTAAAGTCAATAAGGGTAAATGTGTTCTTTTATAAAAATATGAGGGGTAAGTTTGCACCTTTTAAAAGTTCAGGGGTTTATATGCACTTCAATATATAATGCAGAGGTATATTTGTTCCGAAAACAGAACAGAAGTATATTTGTTCCCACACTCATACTACAAGAGTATATTTGTACATTTTCTCTATATGCTACATAGTACTCCCTCCGTCCCAATTTGATGGTCTTGTTTGGGCACACGGATTAATAAAATTGTGGTAGAAAGACTACAGAACCTTACTTTATTGCACTATTCATCCTTTTTACTTTTACTGTTCATTAAAAAGGAGGGGTATAAATGGTAATACACTTTTAGTTCTTTACCAAAAAGGGAAACAAGACCATCATTTTGAGACATCCCAAAAAGGAAATACAGGACCATCATTTTGGGATAGAGGGAGTATTATATAGTATATACTACTCTTTCTGTTCCCCTATAATTGTCTCACTTTTCCATTTTTGGATGTCCCATTATCACTGTCTCATATCATATCATATTTGGTAAAATTTGTGTGACTCTAATTCATTTTTATTTTATTCACTTTATCAACTCATTATCAACCACATAATTCCACTTTTTTTTAAAATCACGCCACTTTCTTCCGTTTCAATATTAGGGGGACGAAGGTAGTATGTACTCCATCCATCCCATAAAATAGTTCGTACATTGACTTGGATTGAAATTTAAATAAGTGAGAATAAAGTGTAAATGTATGATTATAATTGAATAAGAAAAAAATAAATGAATGTGAGTCACACAAAATGTTTGATAGGATGAAATGAGAACTATAGTTTGAGTCTTTGAGACGGATACAAAAGGTAAATGGGGAATTATTTTAGGAGGGAGTAATTATTACTGAAAAGAAAATGATAAAGGCGTGGTGCAGTTCGGTGAATACCTTGCGAATTACCCGTTAACTCCCGGCTGCCACACACGTAGAGGAAACTATGGAAGAGCTGCAGAAGCTGCAGAAGCTGCATAGCATGATTGAAACAATGCAATCTTTCGGAATAATCGGCTCTCCCGAAAAACACGATTCCAACTCTCTTCGCTTTCTCGCCAACTTCGCCCTCCTCTTGGTAACCTTTCCTACATGTGCATAGTTTCTTCCAGTTCTATTCCTAGGCATCTTTCCAGCTATTCTCAACATTATTGTGATGATGATAAGGTCGAAGAAGGATGCGAGCTTGATATTGATACGAAATGCCTACTCATTCTTCAACACCTTCCAAGGGTTTGCAAATTTGATTAGGTTATGGATGATGTATAAGATGCTTATATTTTAGTGTTACACAGTGACTCATAGTTCTTGTTTTTTCACAGTTCTCTCCCGAGTTCTTTGAGGAAGCATCAAAGTGCATCTCTGGGGAAGGTTCTCTTCCGAAGCCAATGGCTCAAGGTGGTTCTGACTCTTTATATTAAATTGATTGGTTATGAAAAAGTTTGCTCTTTTTTGTTAGCTCTTTATAAAGTTTATAAGTAGGGAAGTGTTAGTGATTATCTTATGTACTAGTATATATAACTATATATGAACATTAAAGCTGCATTTGGGGTTTTGTGGCAAGGTAGTACCCATAAAATTTAGTGCAGGGATGGATGCAGGGGCTGAGGGGACAGTGGCCCTCTCCCTCCTCCCAAACATTTTCAAATATCCATAGTAGGTCTTTTTGAATGTATTATCTCAGTAAGTGACATTTTACCACCTTCGTCTCTCCATTACTCCAAGTGCTATAAATATCAACGATTCTAACTTCTAAGTGTACATTTGTTCCATACTTTTTTTGGCTACACTCATGGCTGGAATGCAATTATTGGAGGTTGAAAAGTGAACAAAGTACACATACCCTTACTCTATGAATATATAGTGCCCTTTTCATCACATAAAAAGAGTCATAAATTATTAAATTCACTCATGTAAATATTTTTTATTTTATTTTGATGAGGTACTATCAGTGTCAGTGGTTCGTGTCAGTGGTGTCAATTTAGCAAAACAATATTATATAATAATGTGTACATATATGAAGCAAAAAAGCAAATATTGTCATTATCTTCAAACTTTCCTTTTTCGTCCGTCCCAAAATTATCTCATTTTTCTCCTTTTGGAAAAGAATTTGTGGTTCACAACCATTCTTACACATTCTTACACATTTCTCTCTCTTCTGCACAACTCTCCACCACACAAAACTCACTATCTTAATTAGTGTGCCCAGCCGAAATGGGAGAAAAAAAAGGGACGGAGGGAATAGTAAAATTAAAGTACTAATTCACAACTGTCCCCGATGCGTTTTCATATTTTGAAAACGTTGTACAATTTTTTCTTTGTCAACACTTTTGAATATATCTTTTTCAATAAAAGTAATTAAGGCATCATTCATCATAGCATCCCCCATTCGATTGCGCAACCTGTTCTTCACGAACTTCATGGCTGAGAAGGCTCTTTCCACAGTTGCGGTGGCCACCGGTAAAAGCAAAGCTAGTTTCACAAGTAAAAAAACTAATGGATACACAATATGTTTCTTTGTCTCCACCAATTTTTGAGCAAGAAGACAGGTGGAGCGACCTGCGAACGCCGACCGAGGGTTTCCGATTTCAGCGATTTGGGAATTGGGACTACGACTTACGGCGTTCAATCGTTTTTTTTCTTTTTGCAGCGGGAGTTGGCGTTCAATCAACCATTTGGGCATAGACTTTTCAATTCTCCTTGACTCCTTTGTTGACTTTTCAATTTGGTGTTCCAACTTTTAAAATTTTTAAATTGACCCCCATTTTTTTAAATGTTGGATAGATGGTGTCAATTTATAATTTATGAAAGATTATCTATACCTATATAGAGAATTTTTATTTTTCAGTGGTGTCAATTATAAATTTTTAAATTTTTTTTATATACCTACATATGGAAAAAAAAATTTCAGTGGTGTCAATTGACACCACTGGCCAAAGGGTGGCTCCGCCACTGGGTACTATCATTGTAAATCACAAATGAGTCTTATATTTTTGAAATTTGTTGATAGCTATATTGTGGTAAAACTACTGCAATCATTACCGTTAGGTATGTTGTTTAGGGGCCACCGTTGGGTATATTGTTTTGCTTGATGTCAAGTGCACCAAGATATAATGTTTCCTAGATATATCTACAATAATGAGTTAAATGTATCAACTCAAGCTGTTTGTTTAATGAGATACCCCTCTGCCACATTGATGGTTATCTTATGCATTAATGTATGAGCAGATTTTATTAATTTAGGACATTTTCCATCATTTGCAATGGAGCCAAAGACCTCACTATTTTTTGGCTTGGAATATGATGGAATAAATCAAAATGACTCACTAAACTGTTCCCACTTCTTTGTTATGAAGCAACAATCAGTCCATGTAATTTTCAACGCGATTTTCACTATGGGTCATCCGGAAATAGCCTCTCTGTGCTTTAGTACAGGGGTAAGGCTGCGTACATCCGACCCCCTTACCCCACCTTAGGCAGGAGCCTTTGCGGCACTAGGGTAATGATGATGATGAGTGATACTAGGATAAAACCAAAAAGTTATAATCTTTTGCACATTAAGGCATTTAGTAGACTATTCTTTGACTTTCTAAAAGGGTAATGTGGGAAAGTGGATTTCTTTCTAGTGTTTATTTTAGGAAGGTACACAAAATTTTGGGCTTCACTAACAAAGAAATGATACAATATCTGCTTCTGTTGGAGGCAACACAGACATCCAAAATTCTGCGTCCATTTGCTCTAATGATGAGAAGGTGGGCCCCGATCAGAAACAATGGGATTTCAGAGATGTTGCTCTAATCAGTATGGATGGCATTCTACATGCTAACTCTACATTAGAAGACTTTGTAAGCACTCACTAACTTTTGGTGAATTTTCATTAGATATTAGTTAGTGTATTTTTGGGATGACTTAGTTTCGAACAACTAAGTATTTTTTTATTGAAGGGAAGTATTTCTTTCTATAAAAATAAGCCTTTGACAAGGAAACAAAAGAAGTATTTCAATTCTAAAGAAAAAACCGTTTGTGCTTAATTGCTTATTTAAGAAAGCAAATGATTGGAGCCTTTTGAAAAACAATACTCTTTTAGAAAAAAAAAAAAACAATACTCTTTTAGTGCTTACTCCAGAAAACACTTCTTGTAAAAGTACTAATATCATAAGTCATCCCAAATAGGCACTCAGACTCTCTTGAAAGTCATATCACTAATATTTCGAACTCCACGCTGACTCTTAGTCTCTTAAATGTAATATCACCGATATGTCATACTCCACAGTAGTGAGTAATGAGTTGTCACTTGTTAGCTACAAAGGCTTGATGTATGAATCTGTCTTGTGCTTACCAGTGTAGGTCATACTTTATGTTTCACGGAATTGATGCACACCAGCCTCAATCGATATTCAAATACCTACCAATTCTATCATTCACTGAAAGTTTTATCTATCAGGTAATTGTTGCCATGATATGAACCATGGCATTGTTCTTAAAAACTTTTGTTTACATTGTCATATAAGAATAAGATGGATTTTGTTTAACGCTTTAAGTCTCTCTTTGATTCCCAAGGAAGAATTGGACTCCCTTAAATTATCACAGTGATCATATCCTGGCCAGTTGCTTGTATCTGTTCATGAGATTCCACATTTCCACCTTTATGTAGAAGTTTTCTACATTTCAAAAAGGGATATAGGAAGTTTTCTATATTTCCTATTTCAGTTTTCAACTTAAGAAAGAGGGTTACTAAAAGCTTATGATTCATCCATAATGCCAAGACAATGAAGGATATCAATGAAATTACATGGATGACACATTTTAAAAGTCAGAGTAAACGTGAGTATTCTTTTAAGTTTCAACAGCTTATCAGCCAGAGGTACTTTATAAGTACCCCAATGAAATATGATAGCACAAGGGGTATAGAGTGTTTTAGCGTGTTTAACAAAATACTTGTTAGAAAAAAACAAAGTTTTGTGATCAAAATAGCAATTATAGAGACATTCAGACATTGTTTTTGTTATCAATTTTTTTCTGTATGGGAGCTAAAAACTCATTCACCTAGATTTGCATGTCCATGAATGTCAAAACAATTGGCTGGTTTTAGCCTCATCATTTGATGCTTGTAAATATATTGGCGCCTGCAATGCAGTTGGATAAATTAAATGAAAAGTTTCTGCGGCCATCATGGAGGCAGAATACCATTTTATGCAACAAACCTTGTGGGGTAATTCAAACAACCTATTTTCTCACTTTAAAACATATTTTACTGGCAAAACTTATCCCCTTTTGTTTCCAATGAAGTGCAGGGAGGTGATCAAAGCTTGCCTCTAAAACCTGTCAGCATCACATCTGATGCATTTGGGCCACTAGTTAACATTCTTGATCTTCAAGGGCTTTTGACAGATAGGTTAAACCTCTGTCAGACCATTTAGGGTTTGTTTGTAAATTATAACTAGGAAAATGCTTGGACAAGATTACAATTACAAGAATATAGGTAGGAAAATGTAGAGGAAAATTGGAAGGAAAAGAACATGTTTAAGAAAATTAGTCATTTGTTCAAAATCAATAACTGTCTACTAACATTTGTTCGAATTCTATTATTTATTTATCCTTTTCTATTATATAAACAAGAAATTTAAACATATGCAAAAACATTTAATCATATTTCATTTCCCTTTGCACATTTTCCATTGTAAAGTGAAACATAAGATAATAACTTTCATTAGCATCATCTGTCCTTTACTATCCCAGGGAAAATTGTCTGAAATCTGTGTTATTTTTGAGATATCATGAGCAGGATAAGTGAAGAATTTAGGAACGGAATTAAGTACTGGTCCCTTGAAAGGAAGCTATGCAATGCCCTTGCAAGCAAATTGCAGGCACGTAAAAGTTTTTCAAACTGTTCTACTGAATCAGAATCTGCATACATGTGTTGAGCATCTCAAGTCGGCTGTCTACTGGGGTTTGGATCTAGTATATAAGTTTTAAGGAAGATCTCACCTACTTCATGATGACCATTTGGGATGAGTTAGACTTAATTTAAGATGGTATCATAATTTGGTCTAATAGTGGTCTATGGGGTGCCAACCCACTTGTTGGTTTGGAGCTAGCCCATTATGGGGTGCCCACACACTTCTTGGTTTGGGTCTAATATGAGCATCTCATATTGGTGGTCTTCTGAGTTTGAATCTAGTGTTTAAGAGAGCTATATATCTCACCTTTTGAGGGCTTTTTGAGTGTGAGTTAGGACACAATTTAACCTGTTTGCTTTTGATCAATTATATTCCTCATAGGTATCTGTTACCGATGTCATGCGGGCTATTCAATTGAAGTCATTTGATTATCGAGTGCTGAGTCTTTTACTGTATCAACTGCGTGGAGAAAAGGTAGACTCTTCAATCGACCAAGATCAACTAACGTAATGTGTGTGATTATAGTGTATTAAATATTTGCTACAAAGCAAAACATATTCATCGAGAGTTTTTAAAGCTGTTTTCAAGGTGAATGAGTTGCATATGGAGTTCTTGTCGATTTCGGAGTTCCTTGTAGAGATATCTGATGACCTGTAAGTACTATCAAGGGCATGACCGCATGACCACATGATTGATACTACCTCCCTTTTCCCAATCATTTCTCATATTTGTTCCCATCATTGTGATATGGGAAATATTTTATGTTTCCTGTGTTGATAAATACTTTTTTTGGTTGATTTTGAATGCCCGACACAAAACACAATTTGGATGGTGTCTCTAATGAATAAGTGGATGATGTCGTCCTAGGTTTGATTATGAGGTTAGTTGTTTTGCTTTTACATCTTTTAGTATATTTGATACAGAACTATCCAACATGGTACACAAGTTTTTTCCTTTGTAGGATGATGTCTTACAAAACAGTTTCAATATATTGCGGATGTTTGTCCAAATTTATGGAGCTACTGCTGCACCACCGATCCTGGTAAGCATATATGCTATTGTGGTGAGGTACTTCAGAACATTGTTACTAAAGTTCCCTTCTAGCTGCTATTACATTGCTTTAAAACATTATCTACTTGTCTCAAAATAATTGTTTGTCGGATACCCCATATATTAGCTTTTGTTGTTTCTCTCATATTGACTTTTAACTTTGCTCAGGCAAAACACATAACAGAAGCAGAAGCAAAGTATAGCAGCCTTTTGGAAGCTTTAGGGCCTGAATTATCTGTAGGCTATCAAAAAAGATGTGAAGAAGCTACTAAAGAAGGTACCCCCCCCCCCCCCTCCCCCAGGCAAAGCTCTAAGGCACACTGCTGTAATTTTTTATATCCAAGGCACACTGTTGTAGTTTTCACAAAGTACAAGTATATATACTCTTAAAACGTTGTGAGTCGTACTTGACTTTTTACAAACTATTTTTAGTTTTACCTAAAATATCACTCTGAACATGTTTGTAATGTTTTTTTCGGGGGGAGGGGGTGGAAACTGGAAAGAGGAACGGGGGGTTACATGAAACTCTTATATACGGGGTACTTTTTTTTGCGAAACTCTTATATACTACGTACTTTTTATGTAGAGAAATATTGGAAACCATAATTTTGTTTTGTTGTGCTGTTATTGTTTTTTTTGTGTGTGTTTCTGCCACCTTTATATGATATGTTGGGTTGAACTGTGATCTGAATGCTGGTCGACCCTTTTAGGCGGGAAGAAAGGCGGCCCCCCTCTAGGAACATGGTGCATACCTCATGTCATTGAAGATGAGGATCTGTATAGGTCCACTGTTTCAAGTCCCAAGCCTTAACAGCAACACCAAGGTGTCACAGTTGAACGGCTTGCACCAATATTTGCATCATGATCAACCACCATGTTTAGCGTGAGATATGACAAATCGAGAATTATTTCATATTTAGATTTTTCCTTTGCACTTTATGCTCAAATAAAACAATTTGACTGCTGGTAAAAAAGATCCACATTATTATAGAATTGCAGAAATTAAAGTTCACCGTTGTTCATAATAAAGTTTAATTAAAAGTAGGGGTGAACCCGGTCCGCTAGAACTGAAGCCCGGAACCAAACCGACATAATATATTAATATGGGCTTTGAATATTTATTTATTTATTTATTTATTTATTTATTTATTTATTTATTTATTTATTTATTTATTTATTTATTTATTTATTTATTTATTTATTTATTTATTTATTTATTTATTTATTTATTTATTTATTTATTTATTTATTTATTTATTTATTTATTTATTTATTTATTTATTTATTTATTTATTTATTTATTTATTTATTTATTTATTTATTTATTTATTTATTTATTTATTTATTCATTCATTCCTTCCTTCCTTCCTTCCTTCCTTCCTTCCTTCCTTCCTTCCTTCCTTCCTTCCTTCCTTCCTTCCTTCCTTCCTTCCTTCCTTCCTTCCTTCCTTCCTTCCTTCCTTCCTTCCTTCCTTCCTTCCTTCCTTCCTTCGTTCGTTCGTTCGTTCGTTCGTTCGTTCGTTCGTTCGTTCGTTCGTTCGTTCGTTCGTTCGTTCGTTCGTTCGTTCGTTCGTTCGTTCGTTCGTTCGTTCGTTCGTTCGTTCGTTCGTTCGTTCGTTCGTTCGTTCGTTCGTTCGTTCGTTCGTTCGTTCGTTCGTTCGTTCGTTCGTTCGTTCGTTCGTTCGTTCGTTCGTTCGTTCGTTCGTTCGTTCGTTCGTTCGTTCGTTCGTTCGTTCGTTCGTTCGTTCGTTCGTTCGTTCGTTCGTTCGTTCGTTCGTTCGTTCGTTCGTTCGTTCGTTCGTTCGTTCGTTCGTTCGTTCGTTCGTTCGTTCGTTCGTTCGTTCGTTCGTTCGTTCGTTCGTTCGTTCGTTCGTTCGTTCGTTCGTTCATTCTACATGAACTTAGAGTATTATATTGACTTAAATAAATAAATAACAAATACTACACATTTAAAAACAAAATGTGGATTAATTTCCAACACTACATTGACTTAAGAGTATTTCACATTTATAAGTTACAATTGAGAATAGGTTCAACTTTAAATACATGAACTAATTGTCGGAACCACTTTCGGCGTTCTAGTGCTATGTTAACTTTTTGTGTTCTATGACGATCCTTCAACCAATTGTGGGCGCAAATGAGCGTCTCAAGAGATTGCATATTCAACCTCATTCTATAATCAATGAGGATGTTGCCGGTTTCGCTAAATTTTTGTTTCACGACAATTGTTTAAACCGGCATTGACAACACTTGTTTTGCAATTTTTTGTAAAGTGGGGAACATCCCTTTGTGGCCCTTCCACCACCGGAGAATGTCAAAGTTTTCCCTTTCATCATACTCCACAGAAGTGGTAGATTTACTTTTTTCAAAAGATTAGATATTTGATTTTAAAATATTTTTTCCTTTAGAATAATAGTACTCTAAGAATGTTTGATAAGTAACAAGTTTGAAACGAAGATAAGTTACAAGTTTGAAATAGGGGTGGACCGGTTCCGGTTCGGGCCCGGTTCGGGCCTGGGCCCGGCCGGGCCTCGGTTCAGAAAAAGGAGGCCCGGGCCCGAACCGGTGGTGGGCGGTTCCGGTTCCGGTTCCGGGCCAGAACCGGGCCGGGCCGGGCCGGGCCACCCGGAATGTTTTTTTTTTTTTTTCTTCTTCTTCTCTTATTTAACCCCCTACCCCTCCCCCTCCACCCCAAACCACCCCAAACCACCTCAAATGGCCCAAAATACCTAATCCAACCCAAAACTTAAAAAAATTTCAAAAAAAAAAAAAAAAAAAATTAAATTTCGGCCCGAACCGGGCCCGGCCCGGCCGGGCCGGTTCACTAAACTGGAGGCCCGGGCCCGGACCGGTATACCACCGGGCCTGGAGGCCCGAACCGGAACCGAACCGGTTGACCGGGCCGGTCCGGGCCCGCACAGTAGCGGGCCGGTCCGGTTCCGGGCCGGTTGGCCCGGCCCGAGTCCATCCCTAGTTTGAAACGAAGATCAAGACAAAAATCAATAGCATATATAGACGGAATGTAGGCATAACATTTAAAAACTTTTCTTTTTTGAAATTACAAAAATAATGAATGTAAGTGGCTTCGGAAAATTCTTTGAAAGCACCGGTGAGATTAACAACTTCTATAAAAAAAATACTACGTATGTTACTAGTAGGTGTATAAACAAGAGCAAAAGATTGAACAGTGTTATAAAAATAAACTAAAACATTACAAATTTTCTCCATGAGGTCGATCTGAACTGGTTTTATAATATAATTACAAGTTTCTTTCATAAAAGCAGGGAAATGATCCTTAAATCTAAGAAACACAACAATTAAATTGTATGTACTATTCCAACGAATAGATAGTTTTTTAGGAAAAGTATAATACTTAACACGTTTAGATTTCAAATAAGCACACCATTGCATTTTAAGTTGAGTATTACCCCAAGTCATTCTAATTGCTAGTCCCCTTAACTTTCTCCATCACATTTCCTGATGGGACTAAGCCGTTTTCACACATAAATTAATTATATGACATGCACAACGTTGATGATAAAATCTACCCATCAAAATAGAATGATCACATTATTCACACGCTCTAAGTACATCAACAGTATTATTAGTATCATTATAAAAACCTATAGCAAACATCTGTTGAAGCAAATTATATCTACCTCTATATAAAAAGAGGTGGAAAAAGAGGCAAGTTTCCCGCCAAAAGTTACATGTCAAATATGGGTCGGGTCTTACAGTTCAGGTACTGGGCAAACGAGTAAGTCACGGGCGAGACTGATTGTACGTATGCAATTAATGTAAGTTTGTCGGTTGTGGCTTACTATATTCAAACTTTTAGATCAAATTGGTTGACTTTGATTGGTAGCATCTTTTATTCACAATCCCAATGTGAAACGTACGAAAAAAAAAAGGATGACACCCCATCCCTGAGGGGCCCCCAACACCGACCGGACGGCACGATAGGAGGATGTAAATTGGACTATAATCACAATCTGACAGACAGAGAGTGAGGCTCTGTCTCCGGTACTTGCAGAGGCCCTATGCATTGGATGTGAAACGTATGAAGATTTGTTGTTTACGAAGCTTGCTAGAGTTGATAATTTACATTAGATAATGCATTCAGCATTTAATGTCCTCGACATCGCAAATACTTTTACAGCTAATATGTTGAGTTTAGGGAAGATCCAATCACACCTTTATTAACATCAAAAGTTTTATCAGTAGCCCATGGGGTAAAAAGACAATTCAACAGTTCAGCTCCCTGCCCAATACATTTCTTGAACCGGTCACTCCAGCTATCTTTCTGTTGGATAGATATTGATCGATATATGGTAATATGGAGCTGCAGTCTACACCTTCTTCAGCCGACCTCGGCCTCCGCAGCAGGTGGCCAACTCTATGAATCGCACAACGGCTAACTCCGGCCTCGCCTCCTCCAACCTAGACGATGATTTTCAGGTTCAGGTTGTTGTATTCCGTATCATTTGTTGTGTAGTTTCAGTAGTTAGTTTCTGAGTCCCTTCAAAGCTCAAAATCATTCTATATACCACAGATTTGGTTATTAAATCTCCATTTGAAATCGTCAAGCAGTGCGAGCCTAGGACCTTACGACGGCTGGCGATGGTTCTGTATTTCAGGTTTGTTCAGCTACAGCAACATCAATACAGGGCAATAATATACTCTTCCGACCTTTGACCCAGCAAGACGTCGACCAAACTGACCGATTGAGACAGCTCACGACTAGGTTTCTTACGAACAAATTCCCGATCTTTGGGTGGGAGACGGAGAACTTGGGACTCTCCTTTTCAGCTACTGTGGCCACCCGCAGAAAAATGTCGCTAGAATCAATGTGGCGCAGTGAAAACCAGCAAACTCAGGCAGTTCTAAGGAGGAGGCCGCCGGTTGGTAATACTAGCAGGATTTTTCAACCATATCCACTACTAACCCTCTCAAAGTTTAGACTTTTGGGTTAGTAATTTTGTTGAAACTATAAAGTTTAATAGTTGACGTTTATTGGTGTTGAATGCAATCTATCTTATTGTTCTCCTATTTTGATGGGTAGCTTCAACTCATATTGATAATAAATTACCGTAAAGCATCTTAGAGCAGTGATTAGTTTTCAAAATTTAAGTTATTTGACAGGTTCTCTGCAATGGGATATTTAATCTCCCCATCAATTCTGTTGAAGACAACTGAGAACAGTGATAGCATATGCTACTCAATTGAAGAATCCCTCTTTGTTTTTCAACAGAAACATTGTCATCTTTTTTATGATTTTCACAGGTTTTATGTTCAATTGTGCAAGAGCTTCTACAGTTGTACATATACCTATATCTGTACATATACAAGGTAGAAATTGGATAATATTATATTTGAAAAACCGGATTAAAATATATTTGCAACTAACAATATTTATCAATATATTGTGACAGAACATTAAGAGTTTATTTAATAACACTGGAATTGGTTAAATTTAGTTGAATTTTAATTTGTGTGTGCCAAGTTGTATGTGTTGTGAATGGCGTTTTGTGTTAAACAAAAGAGAGGTGCTGTGTATATACATGGCTCAAACAAAAGAGTGTGTAATTAAACACTGTTGTTCATGGCTTCAAGATATTCATAGCTCAATCACTTTCTTTAGATTTCTTGAAATCCCCACTCCTACTCTTAGTCATGGACCCGGGCCGGGCCGGGCCCGGCCGGGCTTTTTTTTTGGGAAGGAAGGCCCGGGACCGGCCCGGGTAGCCACCGGGTCCGGTCCGGGCCGGGCCGGGCCTCCGGTTCGGTTATAATTTTTTTTTTTTTTTTTTTGCTTTCCTAACCCCCCCACTCACCCCCCACACCCCCCCCCCCAAACCCCCAAACCCCTCCTAACCATCAAGCCCAACTTGGCTAACCCCAAAAAAAGAAAAAAAAATTAAAAAAAAAATCAATTCGGCCCGGGCCCGGGCCCGACCCGGCCGGGCCGGTTCGCCAAATTCAAGGCCCGAGCCCGGACCCGGCCACCCCACCGGGCCTAGGCCCGACCCGGACCCGGACCCGAGAACCGGGCCGGTTCCGGGCTCGCACAGTGGCGGGCCGGGCCGGTCCCGGGCCGGGCGGCCCGAACCGGGTCCATGCCTACCTACTCTCCTTCGTGTAACATATACATCTTTCCATGATTGAAAGATGGATAGATGTGTTCACATTTTAAGACCAGAAGGTAATGGGGACTAATGCTATTCATATGAAAGTATGAACTGTATGATAGTGATGCGTTTTAGAAGAAGATATTATTTAGTTACGGGAAAAAACTATCGATAAAGCCTAACCCTTCACGGCAAAAGAACGAAAGATGCATTTAAAGCAAAATTCTCCTTGATTTTTGTCTTTTGCTTCATTTATTTGGTACTCCATATTTTGGACTGAACATGTGTTGGACTATTGCATCGTAAACTCAAAAAAACAATGGGGGAGCTGTGTTGATTAGTTTTATTGACATTCTACTTTTATAGGTATGGTATAGTTGAAAATTTATTTCAATATAATACTCCTATTTCAATCTCTAAGGACTTATGATAAAAAAATCTCTAAGGACTTTGATGTGATTTGATATATGTAATGAAAATATATAAATACTACGTAATAAAAACTAAAAATTAGCTATTTAGAAGAAATATTTTTACATAATTTTTACATAAAAGGACATAATTTTTACATAACACAAAAATTACTCATGCTACGTACAACTTCAATAGGAACAATTACAAGTTGTATCGACTCTCCCTTTTGTGAAAAGCTTTTCACTTTCTATAGATCATCCTAAATAATAAATTCTCATTTTTATCTTATGATACATGGTATTATATATTTTCGCAATTAGTTTAATTTTTATTATTTTAATTATTATACAAAGTTCATGTCGTGCATCGCACGGGTGATATACTAGTTCAATTAAAATACGTTCCATTATAAAATAAAAATTATCACTGATGTTTTTTCATTAAAATTTTGAAAAGTGATAACTCGTTTATGCATTTGACAATCACCATCAATCCAATGTATAGTCACACACTCACAGCCAAATAATACAAGTGATGATATATATCATCCCATATATCACTACAAACAGTCACACTCTCATTAAAATTTGCGAAAAAATCAATTAAAATTTCCCTTTCCAAAGTATATATTGTTTAATAACTTGTTTTTTAATTGTTTTGCGGCTATAGTTTCAAAATTGTGAATTTAAAGAACCTTGAGCATAAGAACGTAAAACAAGACTTTCAGAAAAAATAAAAGTCAAGTTTTCTTCACATATTACTTCAAACATTGCTTTCAAACGTGACTCATCATTATAAACAAAATCATCAAAGGGTTGATCATTTGCAAACCTCGATATATATGTTAGCAAGCTCTTGATCTTCAATTTTGCCGCCTCGGTAGGGTGCCATGAGTTTAAGTGACTTTGAACGGTGTCGTAGTGTCACGCCCCGGACCTCCCCGGACACGTCGACAATCCGCCGTACAATACGAATAGTCAACCGCAGTCCAACACATTCATATTATACAAGGCGTCTTGAATATCATTCACACGTATACATCCATAAACAAACATAATAAGTAATTCATAACGCAGCGGAAAACATTGTTTAAAACAAGAAGGCCACACAAGGCATTTCATGAGCACGCAGGCTCTATAGTAAAATATCCATGAGCAAATTTATTAATGTTTCAAATGGAATGGAGGAAGCACGAACCAAGTCTTCTCTCCTAGGAATCACTCGATCAACGAGCACAGGATGCAAGCTCTAACCTCAACCTGAAATGGTGGTGGGACGCCCCCGAAGGGGTCAGTACTCTATACGGCTATAAAGTACTGGTGTGGCAGGCATCTAATAGATATACAACAAGTATTTCACACACAAGACCCTCAAATAGGGTGATAATATAGTTTAGGCAGTAATCCCAAATTTCCCCTTCAAAATATATACTTACTTTATATAAAGTCAAGTAGTCGGCTCAAAGGCCCATGTTTATCACAAAACATTTCTCAACCCCGTGACTAATGGTCACGACATACATAGGGTCCAACCCTAATATAACTTCTCATTTCTAGAGTTCGGCTCGAGTACATCATCATGCACTCGCATCATAGATCTCCTACTTCATGTAACCACACCATAGATCTCCTACTTCATAAAATCACCCCATAGATCTCCTACTTCATAATATCACACCATAGATCTCCTACTCCATGATTTCACAATTGACACTTGAATCTCATTCAAATTCATCACAAACAAACTCAAACCTTGAATTTGATTCTAACACATTTAGGGCAATCCTTAACTAGCATCACAATACTATTAAGATTATTCCTACAACTCATTTATCATTAATGGTAGCCCCTCCATATCAATAGATATTTGGCAGCCTCCCATGTGTTAAGCATCATCATGCAATTATACATTTACATACACATAACATTCATACATGAGTTGGAAAAGTCAATTTACCATATTAGCATACTTCTATCTCACATGACTCCATATTCATCAATATGGTTTCAGTTCATGATCAAGTCCATTACTTATCATTCATATCATGTTCAAGCATATTTATTCACAAAAACATGATTTAAGCATTTAGGTAATCTCATGCATAACCTACAAGTTGTAAGCAACTAGATGTCGGTCCTCACCTCAAATGAGCTTTAAAACATTCCTTCTCGATCCAACGACCAAAGCCTCGGCCAAGAAGGTTTGAGAACTGATTCCTTGCTTGGAATTGAGTGTTAAACAGCCCCCTCAAAGTGCTATTTCAACTCCTAACCGAAGACACAAAAACAGTCCCTAGAACGGGTGTTTCCCGACGAATTCGTTCCCTAACCTTTCAAGGTTTTGTTTAGGTTAGTATCTAACCTTTCCAACAATTAAAGTCACTTTATAATAACATTTTATACACTTCAATCAGTGTATAATAGTTCTTCAATCATTTATATGATTTAGACAATAGAGAGGAAGGTTTTGGATTCAAACTTACTTTGAATACAAAAACGTATTCCGCGAGGTTGTGTTTTGATCGGACGATTTGGAAGCCTTCCACTACTCCGATTGATGCAAACCAGACCTTCACGGATTCCTCGTCTTGAGAGATTTCTGCTGGTATCTCGCACGCCTTATTTGGATGTGTATAACTCGAGATATGAAGCAAACAAGTAACCTTACGCACTGGACAAACTACCTGCGGACAGCCCTCTTCCTTCCTTCTCTCTTGAGTTGTGTGGACTCCCTTTGCTCTCTTATCTCTTTGGGGGTTCGAATGGGGTGTAGGGGGAGTGTATTAGGAGGCCTCAATCATGCTAAGAGAGCATGTGGTTCACAAAAAGAAGAGTAGGGTATTTGATTGCAATCAAACATGGTGTGGACCTCCTCTTTAATTTCTTTTTTGTAATGTTGTAGCTCATGAGTCAAAAAGTCCGCCCCACATAGTTGTCTCACCCATTTTTCTTTGTCTTGTAGGTACTAATATCATGTGGAGTGGTTCCCAATTGATCCCAATCATTTTGGTGTCCAAAATATCTATCAATACTTCCAAAAATGGGAAGATGGGCCCTATAGTTTTATCTTTTGTCAATGATGTCTTTTTGTACTCATCCTAATTTATTTAGAACAAGTCAACTTCCTTCATCACATTATTGATCTCCCATATGTGTAGGTTCATCACAATAATTTACTTGATGGATATCATAGCAGGAAAATCCTACTCCCATTATTTAGCTCAATAATGCCAAAGATGGGGTTATAGGCATTTGTATTCTTCTTTAATTATTCTATCACTTATTTGACATTTGTCATACAGGTTATAGGGCTACTAGCCGTGTGGGTCACTCCCGAGTGGGTCTAGAACGCCATTCTCGAATACTTGCTATTTTTAGCAGGTTGGGCCCAAAATAATGTTTGGGCCGCCCGACCTTCCTCGACTTGTCTTGAAAGATCACGTAACACTATTTAGGAATTTTGGGCTCTTATGTTCATTAATAAGGCCCGAATAAGTATTTGCAAAACCCGACACTAATATACGAGTTTGAACAGTACGATATTCAATCATGCACTACGTAAACATTAATCGTTTTACAATTGCTCGGAAATTCAATACATAAGCTTGAAATTTAAATTGAATTTTCAAGGACGTTCGGGTGCGGTGTCACAAGTTCACCTCCCCTTAACAGGAATTTCGTCCCCGAAATTCACAACTCTACTCGAATAGAAAAGCATACTGCTTCCTCATCAAAGCCTCTGTTTCCCAGGTCTCTTCTGCGACCCGATCGCTCTTCCAAAGGACTTTAACCATTTGGACTTCTTTACTCCTCAGTTTCTTCACCTTTCTATCGGTGATCTTGATTGGTTGCACAGCGTAGTTCAAATCCTCACGTACTTCTACAGGCGGTTTTTCCAATACGTGAGAGGGATCATGCACATACTTCTTAAGCATGGATACATGAAACACATTATGTATCTTCTCTAACTCAGGAGTCAACTGTAGACGATATGCAACAGCCCCAATCCTCTCTATAATTCTGAATGGACCTATGTATCGTGGGTTAAGCTTCCCTCGGGTTTGGAATCGAATGATTCCTTTCCAAGGAGAAACTTTCAAGAATACCTCGTCACCAACCTTAAACTCTAAGGTTCGTCGACGTTTATCTGCATAACTCTTTTGTCTATCCTGAGCCGCTTTGAGTCTCTCTCGAATCAACTTCACCTTTGACTTGGTGATCTCAACCTACTCAGTACCCTCGAGTTTGGCCATGCCAACCTCATCCCAGCATAACGGTGTACGGCACCTCCTCCCATATAATGCCTCGTATGGAGGCATGCCGATGCTTGCCTGATAACTGTTGTTATAGGCAAACTCCACCAGTGCTAAGTGGTTGTCCCAACTTCCTTGGAACTCCAATGCACAAGCCCTCAACATGTCTTCTAAGATCTGTATGACTCTTTCAGACTGCCCATCCGTCTGTGGGTGGAAAGCAGTACTGAACTTCAACTTCGTTCCCATAGACTCCTGAAATTTCGGCCAAAAACGTGATGTGAATCGTGGGTCTCTATCGGATACAATGGTCACTGGGACCCCATGCAGCCTCACGATCTCATCCGTATACAACTTGGCTAACCTCTCAAGTGGGTAGGTAGTGTTGATAGGCAAGAAGTGTGCACTCTTCGTGAGCCTATCCACAACAACCCAAACTGCATCATAGTTCCGAATTGTCCATGGTAACCCTACCACGAAATCCATAGTCACATGTTCCCACTTCCATTCAGGAATGGAAAGTGGTTGTAACAAGCCTGCTGGATGCTGATGTTCTGCCTTAACTTGCTGACAAGTAAGGCATCGACTAATGTATTCAGCTATTTCCCTCTTCATACCAGACCACCAGTAACTTTCTTTCAAATCCCGGTACATCTTCGTGCCTCCCGGGTGCATAGCATACGCTGATGAATGAGCCTCCTCAAGGATGGACTTTCGGAGCTCATCATTCGATGGTACGCACACTCGGTCACGGAATAACAAGAGACCATCGTCTCTCTCACGAAAATCCTCCACCGGTCCCGCTAGCATGCGTTCTCGGACCTTCTTTAGCTCGTCATCAAAGTCCTGTCCCTTCTTGATCTCGTCAAGTAAGGTAGGCCTCACCTCAAACCTCGCCACCAAGGCGCCATCGGTAGACACTTCCAATCGAGCTCTCAATGCTCTCAAGTTGGCAAGCAATGCCCCAGACGAACTCTTCCGACTAAGGGCGTCGGCCACAACATTCGCCTTGCCCGGGTGATACTCAATCACAAGATGGTAGTCCTTTATCAACTCCATCCATCGTCGTTGCCTCATGTTTAGCTCCTTCTGGGTAAACACATACTTCAAACTCTTGTGGTCCGTGTATATATGACACGTCTCTCCGTAGAGATAGTGCCGCCATATCTTAAGTGCAAACACCACGGCCCCCAACTCTAAGTCATGAGTAGGATAGTTTACCTCATGCTTCTTCAACTGTCGTGAAGCATAGGCAATTACCCTCCCCATCTGCATCAACACACATCCAAACCCTTGGATGCTCGCGTCACTATAGACATCGTACCCCATACCCTGTTTGGGTAATGCAAGTACCGGTGCCTCGGTCAATCTCTTCTTTAGTTCAATGAACCCTTTCTCACATTTGTCATCCCATACAAACTTAGCTCCTTTACGAGTGAGCTTTGTCAATGGTGATGCCAAAACGGAGAACTTTTCCACGAACTTTCTGTAGTAGCCAGCCAACCCAAGGAAACTACGAATTTCCTTGACGTTCTTTGGCCTCTCCCATTCGGTAATGGCTTCTATCTTCTTGCTATCAACAGCAATTCCCGATCCCGAAACTACATGCCCGAGAAAGCCAAATTCCTTTAGCCAAAATTCACATTTAGAAAATTTGGCATAGAGTTGCTTCTCCCGTAGTGTCTCAAGTACAAGTATCAAGTGCCCCTCATGTTCTTCTTCGCTCTTTGAGTAAATCAAGATGTCATCTATGAACACAATCACAAATCGGTCCAAGTATTTATGAAATACTCGGTTCATCAAGTCCATGAATGCCGCTGGGGTGTTAGTTAGCCCAAACGACATAACCAAGAACTCAAAGTGTCCATACCTCGTGCGGAAAGCACTTTTCGGTATGTCATTTTCCTTGATCTTCAGTTGGTGATATCCTGACCTCAAGTCAATCTTTGAGAATACTGTTGCTCCACGGAGTTGGTCAAACAAGTCATCAATCCTAGGCAGAGGATACCTATTCTTGATGGTAGCCTTGTTCAACTGTCGGTAGTCAATGCACATTCGTAGGGTACCATCTTTCTTTTTCACAAAGAGGACAGGTGCTCCCCACGGTGAATGACTCGGTCTAATGAATCCGTTATCCAATAGCTCTTGCAATTGGGTTTTTAATTCATTAAGTTCAGCAGGTGCCCATCCGATATGGCGGTATAGAGATTGGTTTGGTACCGGGCTCAACCTCGATCACAAATTCAATCTCCCTATCAGGTGGAAGCCCCGGTAGGTCTTTAGGGAAAACATCCGGGTACTTACAAACCACCCTCACATCATCGATGTTCGTTTCCTCTTTGGTTTTGTCAACCACGTATGCTAGATATGCGTGGCATCCCTTTCTCATCATACTTCTCGCTCTCACGGCGGATATGATACAGCTGTTTGATCTCCCTCGATCACCCTCGAAGCGTAGGGTCTCCCCATCATTGCATTCGAGTTCAAGAACCTTCGTGTAGCAATCTACCCTAGCATGGTTCCTTTCTAGCCAATCCATTCCTAGGATTGCATCGAATTCAATCATGCTCAGCGGTACGAAGTCACACGTCAAGGTTTGACCATTAACTTCCACCTCACAAGATGGATAGTAACAAGTTCTTTCCACGTCATCCCCCAATGGTGTTGATACCACTAAGGTTTGCATCAACGGTGCGGATTGCACTTCCAATTTCTTGGCGAACGCTTCACTCACAAATGAACGTTGTGCCCCGGTATCGATAAGGATTCGCGCATCCTTCCCATTAATCTTTAGTGTTCCTACATTCATGAACCATGTAAGACATCTTTCCTACCCTCCCTACTCATTTATAGAGGGTTACAATGTTCACACACACGTTAGGGATCAAGAAAAGGTCTTAACGCCGCAAAACGGTGCGAAAAATCGATTTTCGGCAATCTGGGTGCCAGGCACGGCGTGCCTGGGGGTAGGCACGATCGTGCCTGGCTTGGAAAAAGCCTAGGGAGCTACTGCCATGCAGGCACGATCGTGCGTGCCCTTAGGCACGATCGTGCCTGGGCGAAAACAGCCCGAAATTGCCCGAAATCCTCCCGGTTCGACCCCAAAGCTTCGTGCAATGATCCCAACGACTAGTAACCTCAATTTATGGACTAATTAAGGATAAAACACAAGTATACAAGAGGTAATACCTGCAACGGAATCCGGGTTAGCTTGAACATCTGCCTCCGTCATCACATAGACTCTAGCTTGAGTCCTTTCTTGATTCACCGATGGCGCGTTGCTCGCGCTTGCTCCCCCATGCCCCCTAGTTGATTGGGAACCCCCGACTTGGCTTCGTGTTCCCGTAGCCCCGCTACTTGGTCCCGATGACCTTTGCCCACCCAGTTGTGGGCAATGCGCCTTCAAATGCCCGGTGTTCCCGCATTGGAAACATCTAGGAGGTTCACGGCATTTTCCGAGGTGACTCTTCTTGCAATTCAAGCAACGAGGCGTCCCCGAGGCTTGTGACCCCGAGTCATGCCTGCTCGGGCCTTGTTTCCCCCTAGATGGTGGCGGCGGTGCACGGAAAGATCCTCCTCCATGGTTTCCCTTTTTGTTGGAACCTTGGGAGCCATGACTCTCCCACTTCCTCTTTTTCGCCTCCTCGGCGTCTCTCTTCTTCCTCTCCTCCCACTGTTTCTCCCCTTTCAACCTTTGGTCAACCACTTGAGCAAACGTCATGTTAGGCAATTGTGTTGCTCTATCGCGTATCTCCAAGTCTAGAGCATCCCAGAAGTGGTTCACCATCCGGTTCTCATCACAAGCATACTCAGGTATGTAGTCGGCAAGATCCTTGAACTTGTACTCAAGTTCCCTCACCGTCATGTTACCCTCTTGGGTTAGAAGGGTGTATTCCCTCACCTTTTTGTTCACCTCGAAATTCGAGTAGTATTGTGCGAAGAATTCCTCTCGGAAATTCTCCCAAGTGACGGTCTCACCATATTTGCTTTTGGTCCCATCCCACCACTTGGATGCCATACCTTCAAGTAACCTCACCGCGACCCTTAGCTTATATTCGGGGGTGAGTTGCATGTCCAGGGCCGCCTCATTCAGCCTCTTGATCCATTGCGCCGAAATGGAGATGTCTCCCGTTCCATCGAACGGTTTGCACCCCAAGTCTCGTGCCTCTTTGATATACTTGGAGATCCTTATGATTGGACCTCCATCACCCCGTCCCCCATGTGGTTCAACGTGGGCCTTAGAGTCGCCATGGCTTCTTCCCCTTGAAGCCCCTCCCGAAGTTCGCCCTCCTCGGCGCCTTCGGCGTTCCCTCCTTTCCTCGCGCTCCCGCTGATATTGCTGGAGCAGCGCCTCAATTCTTGCTAGGGAGTCATTCTCCCCTTCTTCATCACTCACATCATCGTCATCCCCTTCGTAAGGGGTCTCAACCGGCTCGGTTTCCGGTTGGTAAGTCGAGTCCTCATAGGACCAGTAGGTTTCACTTTCTGTGTCGACATGACCGTCACTCACGGTCTGTGATCGGCCTCCACGGCCAGCTCCTCTAGATGCCCTAGAGGTCCTTCGACTGCCCTGTCCAGTCTCCACTGGTACACGGCCGGTCGGGTTCCTCCTAGTAATCCTGCCACCACGGTCCATTTCTGAAAGAAATTTGGAAAGAGTCGTTAGACTCATATCAAATGTCAATTGACGGATAGGTACTTAAGACACATTTTGACTCGAGTCACCGCCATACCAATTGCTAAGGGTACCATCTTAACAATTAGAGACCTTGCAACCCAAGTACCAAAAGCTCTCCAAGTACAAAACTTCTATGCTCATGGTTTTCAAAATCTTTTCAAAAAGAGAATTTTGAGACTTCACTATGAAGTTTATGGATTAAGGCTCTGATACCAACTTAATTGTCACGTCCCGGACCTCCCCGGACACGTCGACAATCCGCCGTACAATACGAATAGTCAACCGCAGTCCAACACATTCATATTATACAAGGCGTCTTGAATATCATTCACACGTATACATCCATAAACAAACATAATAAGTAATTCATAACGCAGCGGAAAACATTGTTTAAAACAAGAAGGCTGTCACGCCCCGGACCTCTCCGGACACGTCAACAACCCGCCGTACAATACGAATAGTCAACCGCAGTCCAACACATTCATATTATACAAGGCGTCATGAATATCATTCACACATAAGTCATCCATAAACATACATAATAAGCAATTCAATACGCAGCGGAAAACATTGTTTAAAACAAAAGGGCCACACAGGGCAAACATGAGCACGCAGGCTCTAAAGTAAAATATCCATGAGCATGTTTATTAATGTTCTAAAACAGAATGGAGGAAGCACGAACCAAGTCTTCTCTCCGGGGAAATCACTCGGGCAACGAGCACAGGAAGCAAGCTCTAGCCTCAACCTGAAATGGTGGTGGGACGCCCCCGAAGGGGTCAGTACTCTATACGGCTATAAAGTACTGGTGTGGCAGGCATCTAATAGATATACAACAAGTATTTCAAACACAAGACCCTCAAATAGGGTGATAGTACATCATGGTTGTAACCCTAAGTTACCCCGTTTAAATATATACTTACTTTATATAAAAGTCAAGTAGTCGGCCCGTGGGCCCGTTTTCATTTGGAAATCACCATTCCCAACCCCGTGGCTATAAGCCACGACAACTCCTAGAGTCCAACCCTAGTACATGACATTGTATTCTAGAGCTCGGCTCTACCACATCACCATACAATTCATATACCTCGGGTCAATTTCCTTACCTTGCGTTCTAGAGCTCGGCTCTACCACATCACCACGCAAGTCCTAGAGCTCGGCTCTAGCTATACAATACATAGACTACAAGTCTACACCTTACATGCATTCTAGAGCTCGGCTCTACCACATCACCATGCATTAAGGCCCAATTCTCAAGCAACCCTATGCCTAGAATTGACATATCATTAAACTACCATGGGTCATCCTTAAAGACTTCCCATAACTTAACCTTAGTTCCATACTAAGTTATTAGATACACTTGAACTATATTCAAGTACCTTTCATACAATCCAATCCCTAGGATCAATTAAATCAACAAGTTCCAATAATCACTAACTAGTATTTCAATACTATTAAGATTATTGTTATCATACCACTATCCTCTTTACTTGTAATACTCTACATAATTATAATTATGTAGCAGCAACTTAAGTATTCAATCTCAATACACAAATATTCATTTATGTATCTAAATAATTCGTACATGAGCAAAATACCTATTTCGCAAAAATAGTTCATTGATACTCATTTAATCTCATATTATCCATACGTTCTCAAATCATTTCAAATTTCATTCTTTGGCAACTATATCAATATTTCAGCAATATATAATCATCATAATCCATGAAAAATAATGATTTAAGCATTTAGGTAATCTCATGCTTAACCTACAAGTTGTAAGCAATTAGATGTCAATCCTCACCTCAATTGAGCTTTAAACTTTCCCTTCTTGGTCCAATGGTCAAAGATTTGGTCAAGGTGGATTTGGAACCGATTCCTTGCTCAAATATGAGTGTTAAACAGCCTCCTCCAAGTGCTAGTTCAACCCTTAATCGTTGATACGAAAACAGCCCCTAGAACGGGTGTTTTCCGGTTAACTCGTTTCCTAGTTTTCCAAGATTTGCTCTAGATTAGTATCTAACCTTTACATCAATAAAATAACTTTATGGGGACATATTATGCACTTTTATTAGTGTACAATAGTTCCACCAATCGTTCATATCATTTGGAAAATGAATGGAAAGGTTTTGGGATTAAAAACTCACTTAGAAGAGTAAATCCGTCCCTGCGAGGTCGCGTTCTGCTCGGACGATTTGGAAGCCTTCCTCTACTCCGATTGATGCAAACCAGACCTTCACGGATTCCTCGTCTTGAGAGCTTTCTTTTGGTATCTCACACGCCTTAATTGGATTGGTAAAACTCGAGATATCAACCAAACAGTCTCAGCACTCTCACAGCTCGAGTTCACAGACCACTGCTCGTTCCAGATCGATTTTTGGATGATTACTCTCTCCTCTCGAACTGAGACCACTCAATTATAAAAATAGACTTCAAAAGCTATCCAAGTACACCTCATACACGTTATTTGGTTGAGGATAGCTCCTATAATGAGAGGAGACAAACAGCACACCAATTTGTGCGAAAATAAGAGTGGTGGCCCCAAACTTTGATTCTTATCAAGTCATGTGCAGCTCTTCTCCATAATGGCCGGCCAAGGTAAGTCTCCTAACCCATTTTTATTTGTCTTGCAGGTACTAATATCATTTGGAGTGGTTCCCAATTGATCCCAATCATTTTGGGATCCAAATTATCTACCAATACTTCCAAAAATGGGGAAAATGGGTCCTATTGTTTTATCTTTGTCAAAAGATGTCTTTTTGTACTCATCCTAATTTATTTAGAACAAGTCAACTTCTCAAATCACATTATTGATCTCCAATATGTGTAGGCTCATCCCAATAATTTACTTGATAGATATTATAGGAGGAAAATCCTACTCCCATTATTTAGCTCAATAAGGCCAAAGGTGGGGTTATAGGCATTTGTATTCTTCTTTAATCATCCTATCACTTATTTGACATTTGTCATACATATTATTGGGCTACTAGCCGTGTGGGTCACCCCCGAGTGGATCCAGAACGCCATTCTCGAATACTTGCTATTTTTAGCAGGTTGGGCCCAAAATGAGTATTCGCAAGCCCGATACTAATATACGAGTTCGAACAGTGTAATAATCGGTCATTAATTACGTAAAACATTAATCGTTTAACAAATGTTTGGGAATCAGAAATCCAATACATAAACTTTGAATTTTAAATCAAATTTTCAAGGACCTTCGGGAGCGGTGTCACAAGTTCACCCCCCCTTAACAGGAATTTCGTCCCCGAAATTCACAGCTCTACTCAAATAGGAATGCATACTGCTTCCTCATCAAAGCTTCTGTTTCCCAAGTCTCTTCTTCGACCCGGTCACTTTTCCAAAGGACTTTAACCATTGGAACTTCTTTACTCCTCAGTTTCTTCACTTTTCTGTCAATAACTCTTACCGGTTGCACGGCATAGTTCAAATCTTCACGTACCTCCACGGGCGGCTTCTCCAACACATGAGAAGGATCATGCACATACTTCTTAAGCATGGATACATGAAACACATTATGTATCTTCTCTAACTCAGGAGTTAACTGTAGACGATATGCAACGGCTCCAATCCTCTCTATAATCCTAAATGGACCTATATATCGTGGGTTAAGTTTTCCTCGGGTTTGGAACCGAATGATCCCTTTCCAAGGAGAAACTTTCAAGAATACCTCGTCATCAACCTTAAACTCTAAGGTTCTTCGACGCTTATCTGCATAACTCTTTTGTCTATCCTGAGCCGCTTTGAGTCTCTCTCGAATCAACTTCACCTTTGATTTGGTGACCTCAACCAACTCAGTACCCTCGAGTTTGGCCATGCCAACCTCGTCCCAGCATAATGGTGTACGGCACCTCCTCCCATACAATGCCTCGTATGGAGGCATGCCGATGCTTGCCTGATAGCTGTTGTTATAGGCAAACTCCACAAGTGCTAAGTGGTTGTCCCAACTTCCCTGGAACTCCAATGCACAAGCCCTCAGCATGTCTTCTAGGATCTGTATGACCCTTTCAGACTGCCCATCCGTCTGTGGGTGGAAAGCAGTACTGAACTTCAACCTCGTTCCCATAGACTCCTGAAATTTTGGCCAAAAACGTGATGTGAATCGTGGGTCTCTGTCAGATACAATGGTCACTGGGACCCCATGCAGCCTCACGATCTCATCCGTATACAATTTGGCTAACCTCTCAAGTGGGTAAGTAGTGTTGATAGGCAAGAAGTGTGCACTCTTTGTGAGCCTATCTACGACAACCCAAACTGCATCATAGTTCCTGATTGTCCGTGGCAACCCTACCACAAAATCCATAGTCACGTGTTCCCACTTCCATTCAGGAATGGAAAGTGGTTGCAATAAGCCTGCTGGATGCTGATGCTCTGCCTTAACTTGTTGACAAGTAAGGCATCGACTGATATATTCGGCTATTTCTCTCTTCATACCTGACCACCAGTAACTCTCCTTCAGGTCACGGTACATCTTCGTGCCCCCCGGGTGCATGGCATAAGCCGATGAATGAGCTTCCTCTAAGATGGACTTTCGGAGCTCGTCATCTGCCGGTACACACACTCGGTCACGAAATAATAAGAGACCGTCATCTCTTTCTCTGAAGTCCTCCACCGGTCCCGCTTGCATGCGTTCCCGGATCTTCATAATTTCTTCGTCAGTTTCCTGACCCTTCTTGATCTCATCAAGTAAAGTAGGTCTCACCTCAAATCGTGCCAATAAGGCACCATCGCTGGATACCTCCAGTTGGGCTCTTAATGCCCTCAAATTAGCTAGCAATGCCCCAGACGAGCTCTTCCGGCTCAAAGCATCTGCCACCACGTTCGCCTTGCCTGGGTGATACTCTATCACTAGATGGTAGTCTTTTATCAGCTCCATCCACCGTCTCTGTCTCATGTTTAACTCTTTCTGAGTAAACACGTACTTCAAGCTCTTGTGATCAGTGTATATGTGACATATCTCCCCGTAGAGATAATGTCTCCATATTTTCAGTGCAAACACCACTGCCCCCAGCTCCAAATCATGAGTAGGATAATTCACCTCATGCTTCTTCAATTGTCGTGAAGCATAGGCGATTACCCTCCCGTTCTGCATCAGTACACATCCAAGCCCTTGGATGCTCGCATCGCTATAGACATCGTACCCCACACCTTGTTTGGGTAATGCAAGTACCGGTGCCTCAGTCAATCTCTTCTTTAGTTCCATGAACCCTTTCTCACATTTGTCATCCCATACAAACTTAGCTCCTTTTCGAGTGAGTTTCGTCAATGGCGATGCCAAAACAGAGAACTTCTCCACGAACTTTCTGTAGTAGCCTGCCAATCCAAGGAAACTACGAATTTCCTTGACGTTCTTTGGCCTCTCCCATTCAGTAATGGCTTCTATCTTCTTGTTATCAACAGCAATTCCCGATCCTGAAACCACGTGTCCGAGGAAGCCAATCTCCTTTAGCCAAAATTCACATTTAGAAAATTTGGCATAGAGTTGCTTCTCCCGTAGTGTCTCAAGGACAAGTATCAAGTGCTCTTCGTGCTCTTCTTCACTCTTTGAGTAAATCAAGATGTCATCAATGAACACAATCACGAATCGATCCAAGTATTTATGGAATACTCGGTTCATCAAGTCCATGAATGCCGCTGGGGCGTTTGTTAACCCAAACGACATAACAAGGAACTCAAAATGCCCATACCTTGTGCGGAAAGCACTCTTTGGTATGTCGTCTTCCTTAATCTTCAATTGATGGTACCTCGATCTCAAGTCAATCTTCGAAAACACGGTTGCTCCTCGTAGTTGATCAAACAAGTCATCAATCCTAGGCAACGGATACCTATTCTTGATTGTGACCTTGTTCAGTTGACGATAGTCAATGCACATTCGGAGTGTCCCATCTTTCTTTTTCACAAAAAGAACTGGTGCTCCCCACGGGGAGTGGCTGGGTCTAATGAAACCATTATCCAAAAGCTCTTGCAATTGGGTTTTCAACTCGTTAAGTTCAGCGGGTGCCATACGGTATGGCGGTATGGAGATTGGTTTGGTGCCGGGCTCAACCTCGATCACAAATTCAATCTCCCTATCAGGTGGAAGCCCCGGTAAGTCTTTAGGGAAGACATCCGGATACTTACAAACCACCCTCACATCATCGATGTTCGTTTCTTCCTTGGTTTTGTCAACCACGTATGCTAGATATGCGTGGCATCCCTTTCTCATCATACTTCTCGCTCTCACGGCGGATATGATGCAGCTATTTGATCTCCCTCGATCGCCCTCGAAGCGTAGGGTCTCCCCATCATTGCCTTCGAGTTCAAGAACCTTCGTGTAGCAATCTACCCTAGCATGGTTCCTTTCTAGCCAATCCATCCCTAGGATTGCATCGAATTCCATCATGCTCAGCGGTACGAAGTCACACGTCAAGGTTTGACCATTAACCTCCACCCCACAAGATGGATAGTAACAAGTTCTTTCCACGTCATCCCCTAGTGGTGTTGACACCACTAAGGTTTGCATCAATGGTGCGGATTGCACTCCCAACCTCTTGGCGAACGCTTCATTCACAAATGAACGTTGCGCCCCGGTATCGATAAGGATTCGCGCATCCTTCCCATTAATCTTTAGCGTTCCTACATTGATAAGTCATGTAAGATACCTTTCCTACCATTCTTACACATTTAGAGAGGTTTATTATGTTCACACATGTGTTTGGGATCAAGAACGGGTCTTAACGTCGCAAAACGGTGCGAAAAATCTATCCTCGGCCATCTGGGTGCCAGGCACGGCGTGCCTGGGGTAGGCACGATCGTGCCTGGCTTGGGAAAAAGCCCTGGGCGCTACTGCCTCCCAGGCACGGTGCCACGCACGGCGTGCCTGCGACCGTGCCTGGCCGAATTTCCTCGAGGAGGCCACTGCCTCCCAGGCACGGTGCCACGCACGGCGTGCCTGCAGCCGTGCCTGGCCGGAACTCCTTAGCGAGGCCACTGCCTCCCAGGCACGGTGCCACGCACGGCGTGCCTGCAGGCGTGCCTGGCCGGCAGTGGCTGTTTCCAGCCCGATTTGGCCTAACTCGCCCGGTTTGGCCCCGGGGTGGCCCGCACTCAATCCCAACGACGTACATGATCTAAGTAAGCCTAAAAGTGCCCAAAATAAATGTATTACCAGCGATGGAGTCGGGATTAGCCCGAGCATCGGCCTCGGTCATTGCGTAGACTCTAGCTTGCGTCCTTCCTTGATTCACGGACGGCGCGTTACTCGCGCTTGCTCCCCCTTGCCCCCTGGTTACTTGGGAGCCCCCGGCTTGGTTTCTACTTCCCGCAGCCCCGCTACTTGGTCCTGATGTCCTTGCCCCACCCAACTGGGGGCAATGCGCATTCAAGTGTCCGGCATCCCCACATTGGAAACATCTAGGGGGGTCACGAC